TCTATGTGTTATTGTGTAGTCTGCCTCCTCCCTGCTCTCTCTGTCCCTCTCTCTCTCCCTCCTTCTCTTGCCCTCCCTCTCTCTCTCGCTCTCTCTCACCCCCAACCGGTCGAGGCAGATGGCCGCCCACCCTGAGCCATGGTTCTGCTCGAGGTTTCTGCCTCTTAAAAGGAAGTTTTTCCTCGCCTGTGTCGCCTAGTGCTTGCTCTTGGTGGGAATTGTTGGGTTTCTTTAATTAACTTCAGAGTACGGTCTAGACCTGCTCTTTATGACATGCGCTGTGAGATATCTGTTGTTGTGATTCGGCACTATATATATAACATTGAATTGAATTGAATATTTCTCCATTAGTCCACTCACCTGGCGTTTAGTAATGGTCACAGCATGTTATTCACACCATTTTGATGCATGTTTTTTAATTCAATAAAGCTTTGTTTTCTGCATAACAGACCATGTTTTTTTTTCCTCAAACCAATCTTAATTATTTTTCCATTCAAAGCTGAGCTGGACCATTTAAACCCATATATCCGGTATCTCATTCTTTCGGTCACCACCCACAGTTCATGGCCATAGACGAGGGTGGGAACGTGGATCGACTGATAAATCGAGAGCTTCGCCTTTAAGCTCAGCTCTCTCTTCATCACGACAGACCGGTACAGCGCCCACATTACTGCAGACGCCGCACCGATCTGCATATCGATCTCACGCTCCCTACCCCCATTCGCAAACAAGACCCCGAGATAAAATTGGACTCCAGTTTAAAGTTCGACCAACAGCTTTTTTCCGCTTCGCCTTCTTACTAAGGTGAAACCCTTCCTGAGCCGCTGTGACCTCGAAAAAGCCATCCACGCCTTTGTTAGCTCAGGTTTGGATTATTGCAATGCTCTGTACTTTGGACTAAATCAAACATCCCTCCATCGCCTTCAGCTGGTACAGAATGCAGCTGCCCGATTCCTGACCAACACCCGTAAACATGACCACATTACACCTTTCTTCCACTCCCTATACTGGCTCCCAGTACAGTACAGGGTTCAATTTAAAATACTCATGTTTGTTTTTCGGGCAGTTAATGGCCTTGCGCCTCCGTATATCAGTGAAATCCTGAGGTTTCACCAGTCCGGCAGATCACTTCGGTCTGCTGATCAACATCTGCTGGAGGTCCCACGTTCCAGGTGCAAGGAGTGGGGTGACCACTCTTTTGCAGTGGCAGGACCTAAACTGTGGAACTCTCTGCCAACTGAGTTACGTACATTCGCTGACCTGCCTCTGTTCAAAGCTAAACTTAAAACGCATTTGTTCAGAATGGCGTTTTGCACGTAAAATCACTGTAAACTGGGTTCTGTGTATTTGTCTTTGTATATTTTGATAGTTTGATCTGTTTTTATTACTGTAAAGCACTTTGGTCAGCTCCGGTTGTTGTAAAGTGCTATATAAATAAACATTGATTGGTTGATTGAATTGACAAGGGCTTACAGGAATGTTAAAAATGAGGGCCAGGGCTTCTGTTCGTGACATGTAGGGAGAGGACGCACATGCGAAGACTTACGGGTCACTTTTGGTTACTCTCCCTTTGGAACGAATTCTCTGTACGAATTTCGACACAGTTTTAGCTGCTGAAGTTAGTTTAACCAAAGAGCACGTCCAAACACACAAAATCAATTAACGTACAAACTCTAGTGACAAGTGCGGTGGGAAAGCTAGCATCCTTTGCAGCTAGCAACCCTTCGACAACAGCGAGATATCCTGTGACACCCGAGAAACCTGCAGCAGTGGTAGTGGCTGTCATGTACCAATGATGACGTCAGCACGTTTATACGTTAATTTACCTTAATCCCCCTGACCAGTGTTGTAAGGTTCTGATCTACGCAAGTTAATATGGAGTAAAGCCACAGAAAACTATGCTCCCGTGTGTGTCTGATTTAATCCGTTTACAGAGTCAAAGTGTAACAGTGGCTATGGACCAACTGTCTGCTTAATTCGCTAAGCAGCGAACATTACTCAAGGAGGATGTTTCCCGCCTGAATCAAGACGCCATTAGACCAATATAAGTTTCACTGGACTCACTCCAGATAACAGTGACCTCATTCCAGAGCCGTCTCACCACCGTTGAGCTAACTGTGGCCGAGTCCACCATCAAAACACTCCAGAGCCAAACCCAGTCACTGTTGGATCGGTGCGACGACTTTGAGAACCGCTCACGGAGATCCAATATCCTGAATATTCCAGAGCGCAATCAAGACGGCAAAGATCCCCTAAAGTTCATGTAGGATGTTCTGATGGAAGTAATAGGCCCCAATGTGTTTTCTACACCGCCAGAGCTGGAGAGAGCCCACCGTATCCCGACCTTCAGAGACGGTCGGAGATCATCCCCCTCCCCCGCACGTTCCTGGTTTGCTCCTCCAGATTCCAGGAATCACAAATTCAAATACCAAGGTGCCACTATAAGGATTTCAGCACAACACTCACTAAAAAGAGAGCCACGCGTAACGGAGTCAAGCAAGCCTTGTATCAGAAAAACATCAGATTTTGCTTGCTCTACCGCGTAGGACTCAAACTCGCGGCACGCCGGCCAACTGCGGCCCGCGGGACGACAGTTTATGGCCCCCGACTTAATATGAAATTTAAATGTTAGTGTGGCCCGCGCAGATGTTAGAATTTGGCTATAAGGAGATCATTCCCATCACGCCCAGATCTCAGGGCTCTTGGTCAACTGAAACACTGAGGGACAGCCCAGCGATGATTACTGTAACTGTGTCCAATAAATATTATTTTGGTACTTTTGATCTACTCTGGTTTATTCTCAGGTTTCCAACTAAAAAAATCGGGTTAACACAAGTTTGATATAGATGCTGTATGTGTTAGCACTACGTCCGTGCTCAATAGTTAGGTCTGTCTCATTCCGGGGCCCGCATGCTTCGGAGCACCGGGACTATCACGGCACTCTGACCGTGCCCACAGTGCTCAGCACCAGCCTAAATGAACGTGTAAACAACACGCCAGTGTGGCTGTCACCGGAGCGGCGTGCTCCCGAAGCACCAGACCTGACGTTACATACTAGGCATGGCAAGATTCACCGATGCGTATCGGAACATCGGAACAACCTGTGCGATACGGTTGCATCGATTTGCAAACGTCTGCATCGGTAAAAACCGCACATAAACTCGAGATGCATCGTATAAAACTACCTGCATCGATACAAACCGATTATTATCTTCTATTATTATAACTTTTTAGAAACGTGTCTTTGAGTTTTAGTTGCGTTTCTTGTAAAGTTTCAGAGAGACAATCACTCTCTAAGTTGCACTTCCTTTGTTTCAAAATAAAAGGCACAGTTAGCTTGCGTGCCATAACTTGAACTATGTAGTCCATGGTGTACTTTTCTTCTGCATTGCATCGCATCGTATTGTATCGTATCGTATCGTATCGTATCGCAGCATTTTAAATTTAGATCGTTCTGTATCGCACCGGATCGCAGGAGGTTGGAGAATCGTATCGAATCTTATCACTAGAAATTCCATGAATCGTGAATGTATCGAATCGTTGGCTGTGTATCGAGATGTGTATCGTATCGCCTTGGTGGTGAAGATTCCCATCCCTATTACATACACAAGACCGGGGAAAATGAGGGCTGTTAGCTAACGCTAACACGGAGCTAACGC